AATGATGACATCCATGAAAACTAAGATGAAGAATTATAAGATTTATGAAAGATGATGACCGCTCCTTATAGATCTCATCCTTAAAAAAGGAATTAATGTTATGGACATATACATTTATTCCAATAGTTACTTATATAATCACGTAGATGTAAATAAATATAAATTAATTTCATAATATCTTTTAGAGAAGCTACTTAAAAGCTTTATAGACATAATTTTGACTTTGTAAATGTTTTTAATTGATTGGTAGGTTAAAAACTTAGTCAATAAGTTAATTATATATCACACGTTGTCATAATACATGAAATCTTGTATAAGAATGCTTTGGGCACCTGGTTGTCAAAGGTAGAATGGAAATTGCTACAAAAAAATCCTAATTTTTATAGAATATTATTAATGCTAAACAAGCTTTAATCAAATTCAAAGAAACTTCAAAAGAATTACAAAGAAAAAATAAGAAATCTTAAATAAATATTAGAATAATTACAAATATATCTCAAATACATCTCAATTCAATTTTAATTTAATCCTAATTGAAATCGTATTGGACTTCATTCAAACTTTAGGCCAAAAATTAACTAAATCTTAAATCCTAAACAAACTCAAATAAAATCCTAAACCAAATTTTTAATTCTAAATCAAATCCTAATCAAACTATAAATCCTAAATCAAATCCTAACCAAATCCTAAATCCTAAACCAAATTCTGAACCTTGAATTAAATCCTAATCCTAAATCAAATCCTAACCAAATCCTAATCCTAAATCAAATCCTAACCAAACCCTAAACCCTAAATCAAATCTTGACCAAATCCTTACTCCTAAACCCCAAATCAAATCCTAATCCTAAATCAAATCCTAATCAAATCTTAATCCTAAATGAAATCCTAATCAAATCCTAATCTTAAAACAAATCCTAACCAAACCCTAAACCCTAAACCAAATCCTAGTAATTTCTATAAAAGATTTAAATCTCAATAATTAATGAATGAACCTTTGATCTTAACTCAAAATCTTTACACTTCTTAAAAACTAAGTTGAAAATAAGCACAAAAAATTTGAAAATAATCAAAATTACCAAATAGATGATAACCTCAAAAACGTGCTCGGATATTAGATGGCCTCCTTTTCAAACCTTGATGCCAAACTCCCACAACCAATATCTCTCTTTTTCACCATTCGATTGATCTCAAACTTTTTACATACATAGAAAAACAAGTCTACTATCCTTACTTATAAATTTTACTCCAATGCAACTAATAGATTGCAAGAAATCTTAAAAACCCTCACTGGACCTAAAATTCCACTTTCTAAGACCTTGACCCACTTAAACCTCAATAACCCTCAATCCAACCATTAGATCAAGCTAAAATTTACAACACATATTAAGCAAAATTATAATCTATTACAAAATTCTTGAAATCGCCTAAATCGTCAATTGTATTTTATTTCACAAAACCCAAGTCATCCAAAAACAAACTTGACTTTGTCAAGCTCTTACAAAATCATTACAAATCCAAATCACCCAAAACCAATGCTTGTAAAAATCCTATTCAGTCTGCTATCAAATCCCACTCTTTTATTTGCAAAAGAACCCTAGAGTCATCATCAAGACTTGATTTTGTGCCTTATGATCTCATTTCGACCTAGGTTGCTAACCGGCCCTCCTTCGGTATCAATATCTAGTTTTTCTAGGTAATTTTTGCTAGAATTTACTCTTAACTTCCTTCTAAAGATGTCTATATTATTTATTTTTCCAATCTACTTTGTTTTGTCTTATTTATGGTCCTACAAAGTAAGTAGAAGACACCTTTTTAAAAAGGCAGCATTGATACCTTTTTGTTTTACTACCCTTTTGACTATTAACTATATTTCTAAGATAATTTGCTCTAATACTTTGAACTAAGATCTCCTACATTATAATAATTTCTATACTCTTTCACCTATTAGTCATGTTACATCATGACAACGTGTTGGTAACTTGTAGAACAAGCTAGCTATATGGCACGCATATAGAAAGCTTGCCTTATAAGTTAAGATATATGTCTAGCAAAGTCAACACATATTGGACGTCTTATAGAAGTTTTCTACAAAGCTCCTACTTAAATAATATATATGGAGGCAAGAGTAAAGCCTTCTTCAGTCTTGTCAATACGTTTATAATTTTTAGTCTTGTTTGAAGATTTTCTAGTCTTTTTATCTTTAGCAATAGCCATTCTAATTCAATATATTATTATCTTTGAGTGATTTCTTAGTCTTTTCAAGTGATATAAGAGTGTATTGGGATTTTTTTTCTTTGAGATTCATATCTTTGATATTGGAGTACCTCTTTTACTAACTTTGATGGTAATATTCTAAAGCCAAAATTTCTTAATTTCATCGTTTAATAAGTCTAAAAAAATTTATAATTATTGAAAATCAAGTTAATTACATGTGTAAAAAAGTTTCTTTTAATCCAACAAGTGAATTGAAAAATATCTTAGAAATCCTCACTAGTCTTCTAAATCCCAAATCTTAAGACCTTAATATGTTTGAGCTTTAATAAACTTTGAATAAACTATTAGATCAAGCTCAAACTTGCAATACAAATTATGCATAATTATGATCACTCAATCACAAAATTTTAGTAATAGATCATCTATAAATTTCATACAATTGTCTAAAGTAAAATCTCTTTAAAATTTTTAAAATTCAAAATGACTTGAAAAAAAACCTAACTTTGCAAAGTCTTCAAAAAATTGTTAAATACTCAAATCATTTGAATTAAATGCTTAAAGTACTTATCTCTTGTTTGCTCTTAAATCTTGTCTTCAATCAACTAAAGAACTTTAGAGTTGCTATAGGTGTATAGTTTTATGCCTCTAAGTTTGATTTTGACCTTAATTCACAACTTGTCTTTTTTGAGTATCAATTTTTTATATTTTTATGTAATTTTTACTAAAACTTATTTATAATTTTTTTAAATATGCCTATATTAATTATTTATTTTATTTACTTTTATTTGGCTTATTTATGACTCTATAGAATAAATAGAATCTTTTCTATAAAAAAGTAGTAATAAGACTAAAGTTTTTACTACCTTCCTATTTTTCATCTATGTTTTCTTACTCTATCTTTCTATTAGGCTCTTCTATAATAACATCCATATTTTTATTTTTCACCATATAGTCATATTATCACATAACAATATTTTACTTATAAAATTTAGAAAAATACCAATTTTGTAGAAAAACAAACTATAGTCTACAGTGGTAATAGTGACTACCAAAGTAGAGTACAAATCTATTAGCAATACAATGAAATATATTGCATAGACATGTTTGTTACTGCACAACTTCAAAGTAAATATTACAGAGCTTATTCCTTTACAATGCAATAATCTCAATGCCACAAAATTTATTGAAAATTCCAGAAGTGCATACCAAGACTAAATACATTAAAATCCAACATCATTTTATCATAGAAAAGACAACATCAAACGAAATTTATACAGTACAAAATTCAACAAAAGAGCATAAAATTGATATTCTTACTAAACCATTAGAAAAAAACTAAATTCTTACAAAAAAATCAAAGAAATTATACTCAAAGCAATAGGTAGTGTGTTATCCACAATCAACCCTGATCTATGATTTACCAATCAAAGCACTTACATTGCCACCATCTTTGCATGGAACTATATCAATCATATCTTACAAAAATATTATTTTATTTTAAAATAATTAAAAGATCTTCATTAATCATACTTTAGAAAGCCAATAGATTATCTTAATAGTGATTATAAGTAGACTTCACTTTTAAATCCCTCCAAGCCACTTACTAAAGATATCTAATTCTATTAATCCTTATAAATTCTATTACTATCCATTCTAATGTCACTATCTATTCTTATGTCAATTCAACCTTAGAATACCAACTCTTGTTCATCCTACAAAGATGGAGCAATATAGATGATTCAGGTTTTTGCTTCAACTTCAACCATATATACTTCTTTATCAAGGCATTGGAAAGTGCAAGCAAGAGAGCACCTTTCACTTTGAAGTCTTTGCAATGAATACATTCATATCCAACAATCATCTCAACAACAAATTTGTAAGCTATCCATGCCAAAGGTTGAAGAAGTAGCCAAAGTATCCACAGGAGCACACCTATAATCCCAAGTGTCCTTTTGATGTCCAAGAACAACAACATTACACCTCAAGCTCAAGGGAGAGTGCACTTATCACACCAACTGTGATGATGTGAAGGAGAGTGTTGGAGCACATCATCACAAAAGAAAATGATAAGGTCATCCAGAAGCGATCTAACTCAACAAATTGCAAATATACCCTGGGAATAGAATAAACTTGAGGTTCATCTCTTTTAGTACAGAATAATATGGAGGTAACTCTGAGTAGCAATGTAGTATGTAAACGAGTACTCTCATGTGTATTAATCAATACAAGCATTCTGCCTTATTTCTTTCTACGTCTGGTGGTAAACATACTGTAGTCTGTTGATACAACAATTTCAAGTATCTAGAATCAAAGTGTTTGGTGTGCAAAAACTACAGAGATTCTGTCTCCTGCTGCATGATGTTAGTTGCCGTTGGATCTACGAACTCGACCTTCCGTCTTGCACAGACAGGACAGGTCGATTTTGAACTGCACACCCAGGCTTGTGCACGAATTGATGTAAGAGTAGCCTCTTTGCGTTGTTATGGGGAAAAAATCCTTGATACTGATCACCCCCATCCCCCCCCACCGCACCTGCACATAATGTTTATCCGTTTCAGCAGGGAAGCTCTCGGGTGGTGGAATCTGAAGGAGGGTGCAGGAGGGCTTGGCATTTGCAAGCTAGTTCAGTTTTGATTTCAAACTTGTGTTACCAATGAGGGAGTTTCAAACTAGGAGAATTGGTGGAGGGGAGGAATTGTTTTTGACAAATAAGAGACCAGCTACATATTATCAACATGGAATCCATTAGAAGACTTATCTTCCTGTAGAGAGAGAAAGGAGAAAAATAGAACTTAATTTTTTACAAAATATTAAATATTTTGTAGATATATATTAATGGAAGGCATACAAAACTGTTGGTTTTAATCTTGTCCATACTTCAGATTGCCAATGGAATATATTCTCTAGTAAAACCAAATATTTTTCTTCAAGGAAGTCAATTGCCCATTCATTCAGTGTGTTCTAATTGGCTCGACCGCATTGGTTTTCTTTAGAGGTTTCCTACATGGGATCTTCCTCTCGTCTAAAGCCCAGAGTTGTGACCCAAAAACATCGAGGTGAAAAGGAAGTCCGCTACAATCCAGCAATTATCGAACAATTTCTAAAAAACTAAGCTGCAAACTGAATCATGATTCCTGTTAAAAGTTTTGGTAACCAATTCGTTACGCACTCTGTGCAAGTAAACTATCTTCCTGACGGCGTTTCTTCATGAGGGAAGCTTGGATCTATGTCAGCAATAGCTACGTCCTACTGAGATCGATTATCATCTCTGAGAGTAAAACATTCTTTACAGAGGAAATGCGTTTCGCATGGGTTAGCAATTTAGTGGATCACTACGTCGTCGCCACTTCGTCATGCCACGCAGAATCTCCTGATTGCTTGAGTCTTGTTTCCGCAGGAGATGGACATACTCACATGGTCGTGAAGGATCCGAATCGTTTCCTTGGATGTCCATTTTGGAGTTCGTCAGAGATTCCACAACGTCGGTGCTGTGGCATTCTCGACGATATTCCAACGATATGCTCGCCAGAACATGTTTTTCCATGTGCTCGACAGGGACACTCTGCAACAACAACAGCCACAATGAATCAGTCAGGTTTCCGTTTCTCAAATTTCTCAAATGCCAAAAGAAAATTTGAAACAGGGTCGAGTGCTTCGGAGACTCACATCCAGTACCCAGTTGATGTACTTAAGGTTGTTCACGTGCTGGTTCATGTCGAGATCCGCCGTCGTGGATTTGAGATGCGATCGTCGATTCTCGGCTGTTGTGTTGTCAAGTTTAGTGATTCTCGGCGATTCTTCGTCCTCGCGGAACGAAGACGGGTAATCGTCCATGAAGCAAGGCACTATCTCTGCTCGCACTTCGTCGGGGATTTTGGACAATCGACGCGTAACACCATCCATCATGCACCAAGTACTGGTTGCTCGAGCAAGCACTTCGTCCGTTTGATAGGAACGCATAATCCAGTCACGCTGCATTCCATTCTTCCCCGCGTGTGCGACCCAGGTGTCGATCTCCACAACCTCCGGCCTGTGCACGAAAGCTCATCGCATGAGACGAAAGTTTCTGAAAGTATTAAAGATTAGTGCTGAGATCAGGAGTTGCAGCCTGATAGTTCTATACACAATAAGAATTTAGAGATTTTTCGTGCATGATTTCACAAAAATAAAAAATAAAAAAGAATAAAAGGACCCACTTGAGAAAAAAATCATTTACCAGACGGGGTATCGATTAACTTCCACTTTCATTTTGGTGACGACCCATATAAGTCCTAAACGATTCATGGCTCGAGTGGCGCCGAACCCATCGCCGGCGATCCCCAAGAGCTGCACGTGATTCAGTGCCGTTTCCTGGAATAAACTGAAAATTTCTCTGATTGACATCAACCTGTCCGGGCCGACTTCGTAAGAACGAACTACGAAAATCTGTCTATACATCAAGGAGTTGTCAACAAAGCCACCCTGACGCAGCTGGTGCAACGGTACCATTTCTCTTCTCATTTTCTCCGCGTCCTGCGTCAAGATTCGAGGCTTCTTCAGCTCAGCATGAGTGCTTGACGCCTCTTGCACAGATTTTGAAAACTGCATGCTCGCCGAGGTTGAAATTAACACGCACTCCGCCATGCGACTGCTGTGGGTAATCTGGGAACGAGCGGTATTGAAATCGTCCGGCACCCGACCGAATGCCATCAGTGAGCCTTCATTGAGGCCCGTAGGCTCGATCTGCACCGCACTCACCTTGCAACACTTCATCCTTCGGCACTGCAGGCTATTCAATAATCTCGGTGGTGAAGAGTCTTTTAATCTCAAATATATGGAGCTCCTCTCTGCAGTTGACGTGAGCTTTGTCTTCACAGATGTAGAGGAAAGCGCAAGAACGTCCATTGTGTACAATAACATAGCCCTCACAAATGAATACCCTGAACTCAAGCTATCAAACACAGTAAACCATCAAACGTGATTACTCTTTTCAAGCATGAATACGGCACTGCGCAAGATTCAGGTGATTGTTCGCAAAGTCAGGCGCTTGCTATATCTCCGAAGGTCCAAAGATTCTCTCTGAAAGTGTCAACAAATTTGGTCAGTCTCGTTTTAGGCGAATGTATCGTCGTGCAGCTGATCGTGAATTGGCACAAGCCGATAGAAAATAAATTTGGGGACGGGATGAGTGAGCACTGACTATGATTTCTATGCCGCAGAGACTCTCATTTATAAGGTGATCTCCAGCTTTGGCTTAGAATGGGTGCATTTCGACGAGATTGGACTTCAGACCACTGAGTCCCTAACTCCCAAGTTGGGCGTGCACATTGGTCGGCTAGAATAGAATCAGCTTCAACCGATTGAGCTCGTTGAAATTGCAGCGCCATGACCTTTTCACCCACTGCTGACGCGTTTTGAAACTTCACCTCATGGACTCAATATCAAATCTCTGCAAAACTACAGATCATCACAATGGTGGAATAACAAGCTGCTGAGAATCATTTCTCTATTGAAACCATGGTGGAGGTTAGCTAATCAATTCATGAGGTGTGACAGCTACCTACTTATCAAGGGACTTGTATTTGTAGATGATGCATGATTCTGTCTCCACAAAAAGCAACCAACTAACACAGATCCACTCGAAGCGAACTACATGAATCGACCAGTCGATACTTAACCAATCTTGGGAACCAGCGGAACATATTCAATTATTTTCTCTACTTTGTCTGCGTACTCCAGTTCAACCTTTACATCCTGACAAAAAAAATGTAATCTGTAGTTTTTCGCTGGGGGAAGTCAAACCCCAAATATATTGGGTATTCGCACATCTTGCTAAACAATAATCTGGAGGAATATTCTTCTTTTGCAATACACCTCAGCAGACCATGTCCAGAGAAAACCGGGATGCGGCCGGTTCAAGCATAATACAAGTTTATAAGCTGGATTATTTTGCTTACCGGTAATCAAACCTGTCCGCTTGAAGATAGAAACATCATCAATGTTGGTGTCCCGCTGAAGCATTAACTTGGTTCACAATGGACGGCCCTGAAACGCAGATGGCTCTGTCGAAGGTCTCAAGATTTATCCAAATTGAACAACAGAGAGACCAAAATGCTGTCTGCATGATCACCATCACGTCGAAGTACGGTCCAGTTTTTCCTGTCACGCTACCCCCACACTAATTAGCAAAGGATTAAACGAATGGAAATCGTGTGAGCAGCCAAAACTAATTAATTTAGCAAACGTTACGTGGTACAAGATTATTGGGTCTTTACAACAGTCTGTCGCCGAGGCTTCCACACCTTTGTTTGGCATGTTGCTGATTTGAAGTTCATTGATTAATATTAGGTGATGCTCGTGACTGAAAAGTTCAATTGTGCATCAATTTGGTAGAATTTAGAGTTAACTGCTTCACTGGGGTCGACCAAGATATATTATCCGCGGTGGTTGATCAACTCTGAAGAAATCGGGAGGTCCCACGGTCTGAGTACACGCGTTCTATTCTGATTCACTAAACATTATTAGTCACACTTGTGGTTGGTAGAATGAGGTGACCACCAAATTAATAATGAAAAAGCTTTATTGACCGGCTGCGACACACTATCTTACACCGCTTCCTGGCTCCATCCCCACTTTGTGCAACCTCTCATCTTCGTCAAGCCAGGTAGCAGCAACGTGGACTTTGTTCGACACGCATTAAAGATTTCTCACCATCCTCACCTGCTATTCCGTTGTACGAAGCAAAGAAGAATGTCACAAACCCGAATTCGCCAACCTCACCGTCACAACGAAAATACACCCATCAATTCAACACCAGCGGAAGTTAGCGTTGTTGATTGCTGTAAGGACCATCACAAGTATTGATAAGGAGTGGCGCAGTATATTTGGTTGTAGAGTGGAGCATTACCTGGTGCATTTCCCGTTTGCTCTCACAGTTCACAGCATTGCGAGCTTTCCTAGCATACTTTGCTGCACTTGTAAGAGCACAAGCCCCGGCACTGTGAGCTCCTAAGTCTCTGTCTTTTCATCCACTCAATCCTCTTTGATAGAGTTCAGGGCTTGCGGCAGATTGATTCAAGAATACAACTCCAAGCACCTGGACTGCACAATGCAGCACCACCAATTCTTTTCAAGAGCATTCCACAAAGGTTGAACAAGAAGCAAACTTTCTTGTACAGAATATAAATGCTCAAACTTTATATTACCTATGGACCCCAGGGGAATGTTACAGCGCACCAATCGAAGTAAACAGATCGAAACATTCAGCCCTAAAAATAAAGAACTGAAAGGTTGGACATGATGTCAGCCGTTCACTAACGCTCGGGTCCTGATTATAAAGCGTAGTAGAGTAAGCAAGATCAGAAGGACATAATATGAAAATCCCAAAAAAATACAGCTGAGCAGCTCCAGCCTCCGAGAACAGTTTCCAGCAGATCAGTGTGTGAAATCAAATTACTTAAAACTGAATCTCTAAACAGGGAAGCATGCAAGAAAGAACTGACCCAACTGTTGTGAAATGCACAAGATTTCAGCCTCCCACTTGTCAAACTCTAATTCCTATTCTGTTTCCCAACGTTTCGTTCATTTTAATCAAGATCCACAACTAAGCAATTATGATCGTAGTGCATTCTAAGTCAAGTCCTACCAGCACAATAGGACGCAGCGAAGTATAGCTGCGGTTATTTCGGGTATTGCCACTTAGAAAAGAATGTTAAGAATGTTAAACCTTCTAATACTGATGAATCACACAATGTTTTTGGGAGGCCAGGCTCATCTCAGTCAAATCAAGCACACAACTCATTTCTACAAATGCTTGGTAACCTTTATCTTTCCTGTGTTCCGCCAACTGATACTCTTGACAATGGAAAAGTCCCGGCACCCTAACAAGAAGAAAGGAGTCTCGAAAACCAAGGAGTTGGCACTTACAGACAGAATGTGCTTATAAATGCATCACAATCTCCTCCAGAAACCACATCGGCAACTGCAAAGCAAAGCGAGAACGTACCCTTGCTACCACTGAGCAAGCTCTACAACCTCTAATTCACTGTCTGCAAGGCACCTATTTAAAAAAACAGCGCCAAGACCAACCATAAAAGAATTCCATCGGATTAACCAAACATGGTCATTGACCCTGTCTGCAGTACAAGACATGTATGTTATCTCCCAGAGGCAAATATATGTCAGTACCGTTAAAACAAATGAGTGTGACTCCTCTATCTTTATGCAGATGGGATTTAGTGACCGAAAGTATTTAATCTATTTCAAGATTTTGTAACCTTCTGAGATCATGACATTGACATACTCCAGAAGAGGAATCTCAGAGATGAACTTATGTCCCAGAAATGTACCTTTGCTTTGCTGTGTGTGTGTGTAGGTATGACACTCTCCTTCTTCGGCAGCCCTACTGCATGATATATCCCGACTAACCGATGGGTTGAAGTGTTGATTGAAGTTATTGCTAATGTTTCGTCTTTTGACCAGGCTCTGGTCTTGTCTTGTAAAAGTTGTATCAACTTACAAGACAGAGACAATAGTTCAAGAACTTCTTTGGCACTTGGCATAGACAGATTATGAATTTGTCATTGAAGTGATCATTGGACTTGAGAATGCTCATTGTAGGGACTTTAAAGTGCAAGGTACTCTCTTGCCCGCACTTCTTGATGCCCTGATGAAGAAGTATATATAATTGAAGTTGAAGCAAGAACATGAATAATCTGAACTATTCCATCTTTGTGGGGTGAATAAGAGTTAGTATTGTTAGATTGGATCGACATTGGAATGGATAGTAGTAGAATTTACAAGGATCAATAGGTCTTGATATCTTCAGTATGTAAATTGGAGGGATTTAGAAGTAAAGTCTATTTGTAGTTTCTATAATGATAATCTACTGGCTTTCAAGTATATGATTAATGAGGATCTTTTAAGCATTCTAGAATACAAGGATATTGATATAGAATGTGATTGATATAGTCCCTGAAAAATGGTCGTGATATAAGTACTTTGATTAGTAAATCATAGATCGTGGTTGATTGCAGGTTACCTATTGCCTATTATTTTGAGTCTAATTTTGTTGACTATCTATAAGAATTTAATTTTTTTCAATGTTTTAATAAAAATATCAACTTCTTGTTCCTTTGTTGAAATATGTATTATGCAAATTTTCTTTTATATTGTCTTTTCTCTGATGAAATGATATTGGATTTTGATATGTTTAGTCTTAATGTGCAATATAGAGTTTTTAACAAGTTTGAAGGCACTGAGATTGTTGAGATGCAGAGGAGTAGAATCCGTAACATTTACTTAGAGGTTGCATGGTAATGAGCGTGTCTATGTAATTCCTTTCATTGCTTTTCTTATGAATTTGTATTCTATATTGATAGTCAATATTGCTACTATAGACTATAGCTTGCTTTTCCACATGATTGGTATCTCTTTAAGTTTTATGAATATACCACTTTTTGGTTTTTTGCCATTTAAATCATGTACTCCATTGGAATCAAAGAATGCATAAAGTTACATTTTATTTTACTTTAGAAAGAATATGTCATATTAGTTGAATCTTAGAAATATTATAGGATTTTTTATGCTTGGAGTAGTCTTATCATAAACCATTAACAATACTAACCACATATAATAGGTCCGGTGTCGTGTTGTAACACGAGTATACAGTGAAAATAAAAAGAAAGGGGAATTTTATTAATATTCAGTTACCTCGAATATTGGGAGCATCGACCAACTCCAGTACAAATACTGAGTGGTCAGGTTCAGTGACTCCGTTACAGTGAGTCGGAGCATACTGAAATGCCCCGTTCGATTCCAATAACGGGAGTCAGCAGGAAGAGAAGGACCAATTCACACGACGAGTTCGAGGAGCCAATTGGATCCAATTTCGATAATCCAATCCGGGTCCTCTTACCCAATATGAGACCTGTATTGGTGGGGCAACCCAATGCAGTCTAGTTACGGGAAATCCAGGTCTTACTACGGGTCTTAGCCAATCTGACGCGAGGACCAATTTGACCCAGTTACGGGAAATCCAGGTCTTACTACGGGTCTTAGCCAATCTGACGCGAGGACCAATTTGACCCAATTACGGGAACATCCAGGTTACTACGGGCATCTTTCCCAATATAGGACCTGAATTGGTCGGGCGACTCAATGTGGTCCCGATTACGGGGTTCGATTCTGTTTCAGGCTGTCCTGTTCTCTGTGCCGTCTCAGGGAATGTTGTTTTCGGTAAATGGATTTCTTAAAGGCAAAAACGGAGGAAAAAGCTTGACGGCGAGAGCCAATTTCGGATCCAAGCTTGAGGTGGGAGCCAATTCCGGATCTAAGACGGAAGATTGAAGAAATTCAGAGGATAAGGTTAGGTGGGATATAGTTTTGGGGGGTGGTTTTTTTTTTTGAGGGGAAATCGGGGGGGAAGGATTTTTCAAGCTTCTGCAAGGTTACCAGTTCGGTTTTTCATTGGAGGTTTTTTGAAGATCAGGGGAATTAGAGAGAGGAGCTTCATGCTTCGGGTCGGGGAAGGAAAGACATAGAATTTGGATTTTTCTTCTTCGTAGAGTTTTGGGGAAGACTGAGGCAATCGTTGCTGAAGTCAGTGTTGTAATGGTGAATCGGGATTTTTAAATGAAGTGGGTTTGAATACTCTTGACTGTTTTGTGAAATCGAGTTACGTCTGTGATTGAAGGATTAAAAGGGTGTCTATAGGATTGAGTATGCGGAGTGAATGAAATTTATTGGGTTAATCTAACAAGACAGTCAATGGATACAAGATCGTAAGTACAAAGCAGTATTGAAGGTTAACAGTTTGGGTTGTACGGGGTTCTCTGTAAC